TTGGCGATGGTTCAAGCGGGTGCAAAAGGCTCTACAAAATCCCAAATCAATTCGCTTATCTCTAAAGGTGCAATTCCATCTCCTTGATCTTCCATGCACCCATATTCTGATATGTGGTTTCAGGAGCGTCAGACAATGACATCGAGGAGCATTATTCGAAGCTTTCAAGTCAGATTATGAACGCAAGCAATGGGGTGAAGAGCCGAATAGCTAATGGATTTTTCCTAAAGTGAGCGTCCTATCCAAAATCTTTTCCCTTCATATCAAAGAATCTATCCGGTTAGTAGTCAGAAACTTCTAGCAAGCAGTTCCAAGTTGAAAAGGACTATGAGCAAACTGTCGTAAAAAAGTACGGCGCTAAAGTAGAGGCTCTGGACTTCGGCCAAGCAAAGGAGGCCGCTAAGGTAATGCTCTGATATACTTGAAGATTTTTATATAGAGTTTTGTTGTTCGGCCGAAACTCTCTGATGACTGATTCATTCAGATTATTGACGGCTTCATTAGCAAAACAACGGAAGGAAAAATTCACGACATGATAAATGAAGGAACTGTTCAAGGTACTTTCCGTGACATTCTTTGAGCTGATTGGGAGATTGCAAAAAAAATAATATTTTATTAGGTTTGCCCCCGCCCACAGGGACAACGCACGCTAGTCCTGTGGGCGGTTAACACCCAACATTGTGCTCTTCTCATTCGTGAGCTCTTCATTTTTGACCAATAGGCTAAAGAGGAGGTAGAATGAAGGGAAGTGTTGTTTTAATGACAGGTACACGCTGGAGTAATGTACCTTCAGGGACACATTTCGCGATGACTGGATTCGCAGTACCCTAACCTTGCCCACATCTGCAGTATTAGAGGGTTGGCCCATGTTGACGCCTCGGCAGTAAGTAGCGAAGGCGCTGCAGTCAACACGAGCCGAACGAACCACCTCAGAAGACGCTTTACCCACCTGGGGAAGAACTATACTACAGCTTCCAACAAGCACAGATTTGGAGAGTATATACTGGGCAATACCGTCTTCTGCCCCTGGCTCGATTTCCGGCTTTTCTTCTTTGATCTCGCGCGCGCATCTTTTTCCTCTGTCCCCTGCCCGGTGCAGCAGTGTCTCGCTTTCCAGACTACCCGACCAACCCTGAAACCTTGTCTGGGGTATCTTCGACGATTTTGTCTATTCAATCCGCTCTCTCCAATTGATGACCATATAAGGGTTCACTGGGGCCACAAGGTCTCCAGGAACTGTAATCGCCGAATGTGCTCTTGAAAAGTGCCGCTGAGGAAGTACCTAATACAATGTACCCTATACAGCCACAATTTCTGCAAAAAAGGGCTGGATTTGAGGCGCAGTCAGCGCAGTCTTTCCCAGCAATTGCTGCGGGCATAGTATGGCATCATGGTAAAAAATACCACCCTCGCTTAGTTTCAGTCGAAGCCTCCTCACGTGTGGTCAGTTTTACAACAGAACGGGATGATAGTGATCAGGGTCATGCCCGCCCCCCCTGATCAGCTTGTCGCTGGAGATATTGACAAAGACTGAAGAACTATTTGTAGGTGCTTCCTCACTCATTGTCAATGCCATCTACTTTACGGCTGACTGGATCTCCAAGTTCGACAAAGGCTCTAATTCAAAGGAAAAATTCTACAGCGCAGCAGGAGGCGAAAGAGAGGTTGGCTTCAGTCCTAAACCCTTGTGAATTCTGCTCTCAATCTTGAACCACCGTAGCTGTTGTACTTTCTGGATGACCTTTTGGTTTATGAGAGTGACCCAAAGGTATCAGAATTTCTGAGCAGTTCATTCCAGTCAGCACCCAACGTGTTTTATTCATGTGAAAGTAGGCATGTGGCATTTCTTATTGAAAATGCCTGTCTTCATCTTGAAATTGAGGAAATTAGATAGGATTTCGTTCTTCCCCTCTTTTTTGGATAGGTTATGCTCGAGAAACTATTTTTTTTCTTTCAGATTGATTTCATGCATGATTTCGAAGTGCATCGACTCTATGCTGACGACGATGACCTCCAGGTGCTTTCACTTCAATATGCCGATGAATCGTTTGCATTCAACATTTTCCTGCCGAAAACGAGGTGTGGTCATGTTTCGCTCATAAATAAGTGTAAAAAAATACAAGCATCAGTTGCTCAACTACTCATGCGCCTGCTAAAACTTTTCGAGCTGCTACGCCAAGTTTCTTACTTTTGGATGGGTTCATACTTTGCGACTCGAGTGACTCACTCGTGCGATTCGGGAAGCAGATGGCTGCGACGGACGCGACGGATAGCACCCCACGCCTAGTCATTGGGCCGCAGCAAGTGGGCTGTCGAATTAGTCACTGAATATCAGCGAAATATTACTTGACTATTACTTGTAGCGGTCCGACGATTAGAGGTAGAGCGCGGACTCGCGCGACTCCCGAATCGGGAAGTATGAACACGGTATACAGAAGCTGGCTATCTCTTATTGTTGTCTTCTGGCACGCTTGCATTATTATAATGGACTGAGAAATTAAACAGGGATTGAATAACCTAGTAAATACGGTAGCATAATGTCCAGACTTGAATGTTGGCTAGGGTCGAGCCTTCTGTCCAAGACAGTCTTCTTGAAAAAGCAAACATAAATTCAAGCTGAGCAAATCAGATTGTATCGATCATCTTCAGCACTTATTCTTTAGACTTGGTCTCAACGATCTTCGACCAAAGTTGACCGGAGAAAGGATTCAAAAGCTGCTTTCGGGACTGAAACGAACATATATCTCGGTACCGCACTAAATTTTTTTACCTCGATTTTTCGTACTGAGTTTTTCAATGGAGTTTCACGTTCAGATGAAGCGAATAAAGTCAAAGTAGCAAGTATTTGGCTGGAGCAGGCATGGCCAGGACACGTTGTACGCTGGATGTCCTCAGCGAGGGGTGGGGTTGTACTAGCTCGTTGGAGGGGGGTGAGGTGAGGTGGGGGGGGGGCATTTATTCTGCAGGATTTTCCCTCAACAGCAGGACAGAGATGCGTATGAGATAGCGTCTATGAGATAGCAGTTCAAAGTACTCCTTTTAACACGGGAACTGCTGCACCGCCTCCTAGCCAACAATGTCACTGGAGTGCAGCATCCTTATTAGGTCTAACTAAGTCGCTTGGTTAGGGTCACAATGACGATGCATTTCACGACCATCCTGATTGCTGTACCCTCAATTGCAGCATGCCTTTAAACTTTTAAAACTTGCGTGAGATTTTTTTCTTCTAGTATCTTTTAATTTGAGTTGAAATACCGGAAGATGAAAATTGAGACGGATTTCAAACTGAAAGATGCGTTGATAGCAATGGGAGTGACGGACATGTTCTCTGACCACGCCGATTTGACTGGAATATCCAAGGAGCCTCCGCTTAAAATCTCAGACGCTGCTCATAAAGCCATCATTGAGGTGAAGAGATACTCATCACTCAAAAATGTTTCATTCTGTGTTTTGCTCTCCTTATTCGGGATCACATTTTAGGTAGATGAGGATGGAACAACCGCAGGCAGCTGCCTCATACGTCAAAGTGGTACCAATGTCGATGATTATGGATAAACCGGTGCAATTCCGAGCGGATCATCCGTTTGTTGTTCATGCTGACCAAGGATAACAATCCTTTGTTCATGGGTCAATTTGCTTGAATAGCTCGGGTTTCTGTGCGGAATAAAGGATACAAAATGAACTGAACTTGTTTCAGTAAGCCAGAGAAACGGCTCTTTACTGGTGTTGACCCATTAGCCAGCAGCAATCTATTTTGTACTTTAAGTGGAGGCACGGAGGCCGCGATTAGCTGAGGGAGGCCCTGTACAAATGACGCAAGTTGGCCTGTAGTTCTCGCATTGGTGGCGGATGTACCGCTTTCCCGCAGCTCAAAACTCGGCCCATGGCGTCGTTGTTCCTCGTTTATCCAACCCACTCTTCAAGTAGGCTTGCCCGCCCTCCGGCTCTGTCCTGAAACGTAGGAATTGTTGTTCATAAAAAATCAACCTATGATCATTTGCGCGGCGGCTGATAATTGCCTAACACTCAGCGTCGCTGCCGACCTCTTTCGATATGCTTTGGGAAGTCTAGAGTGAATGAATTTGCCTTAACAGAGGGGATGTATTTGAGACTGTTCGAATGAAGATACTACCTAACCACCTCGTCCTTTCCCATGCGCTATTTTTGATTGGCAAGCTATGGGTGATGGGACCGACACAGTCGTGAGTGGTCAAGTTATAGAGGCATACAAATGGGGAGTGGGCTTTGGCGCTGCGCCAGACTCTGTACGACGCTCTTTGATAATGAGCCGGCCGCAATGATCGAGGAGAGTGAGGCTGGCAACCGCGTTAATGATCCAACCACCGCTGATTACGCTGGGTTCAGTGTAAAGAACTGCATTGCACTCGTAGATTCTAACCTGAATCACCTACGAAAAAAGTGGTTAAACTTCGTTTGAGGACGCGTAAAAGGCGTCCAAGATTGGACCGAGCTCCCGAGTAACAGTGACACTTGGTGTGCGACGCGAAACATCCGAGATTAAAGAATGAGTGAATGGGAAGACCAGCGGGTCGGCTGTGCACAGAACTACTATAACGCTTTACACCCGTGATCGTTTGAGGGATCGCTCGCATATTTCGTTCCCAACTAAGTGACACTTCCTAACAAGCGGTGGATTCCATCAGGTACTAACGCTTTCACCCTCGCTTCTCACAGTCAAGCCGGAAAAGTGGGACAGCCTCCGAGATTGTGGTTCAGATTTATGACAATCCTGTTCGGTTTCCGCCTGGGGAACGGCAAAACTTGAGCTGACCCTCCTTGAAAGCGCTGAGAATGGTGATGAAGCGCCTTGCAGATATACGGTGGAGCGTACAGGAAGGTGTTCTCTCTGGTTCGGCATAACCGCTTAACACCAAAATTGTTATAAAAATTCATCGGGATTGTCAAAATCTTTGAAGAAATCTCAATCTATAATCACTCTAATGGAATTAAAAGGAGCAGTCTATACAAATCGGGAAACAACACCTGCTTTATGTTTGAAGGCAGGCCTACGAATGCATCTATGAATCTAAATCCACCATCTAAGAATTTTTTAAAAAATAGATGGAAACCGTGCGAGGAACCGCCTGTACAAGTTCTTGGAGCCTGAAGTTTGTAACGGTGTTCGACGTAAGGCCCAAACTTGTATATTTGGTGACCGCCAGCAAAAGTTAGGCAAGTCCGCGGCCATTTGGGTTTATCTTATTGTGTGTGCTTTACTCGTTTGCGTGGTGCTGTTGCGCTCTTTCGTCTGGCGTTCCGCCCGGAGTATGTATTTTGAATACCATATATTGAAGTTTCGGCGATGGTATTCTCAAAGTGGCAGCAAGAAGGATTCGAGCTTCTAAATGTCGCCCAAGGGTAACCTATATAAAATATTCCTAACAACGGTTCTTTGGGAGAACTATAGGCTGTTGGAAAAAAGAAATATTTGGCGTTCTGGCGGTGCTCTCTGTTTTGCAAAAGAGTGCGTTTGAAAGAACTTGTTTTCGCCTGAAACCTGCTCGCGGTTCACCACTAACGCGTTCGTAACCGGTCCGAAATAAATATTTCACGAACGGGGGAACATTCAGATTGCGAGTAGGTAGAAAACGCAACAGTAGGGACATTGCTTCGATATGCCACCTTCCGTTTCTTACAAACCCCCAAAAAAGCTATCCACCCTGAGAAAAGCCCGCGATTTTGCACTAGCCGAGCAACAGATCTGGCTCGTCGCTGATTTTGCCATGGGAACGCCGTTCTGCCCCTGTGGACATTTCGCTATAAGAAACGTTGAGTATCATTGTTTTACATTGAATCAAACCAAGCTTTTGTCTTATTTTGGTGCTGATCGGTTGTGGGAGGGGAGGGGGTGAAGGGTGGAAATTTTGCTAGTTTCTTCACCTGGGTGAGAACTGTAAACCCTTGTAAAGCATGAGAAATGGAGGTGTTAGCGGTGCTCGTAAAGACTCAAAGCGTCACGAAGGTATCCACGTCTTTCTCAAGGTTAACCCTTGCAAACTGTTCGTACCGCATATTGTGGCTAAGGAGTTTACCAGTCTGTGTCCACAGGATGAACATCGCTTGTTTGCCTCTACCATGACGTCCATGTTGCTCACCATTTGTACATTCGCTTCCTCCCAGCCAGGAGTAAGGTTTAGTTTTTGTGACTCTGTTCGATGAGTAAACATCCTGCGAAGCTCTTGACCGGCAGAAGCAAGACGGAGTAGAGACACAGGTCTTCCTTGTCAGCGGGCACTAGCGTGATGCTCCTCTAAGGCCGAACACCGTCTGCTTTTGCCGTTCTATGTAAGCTTTTCTGAGCCGGCGAAGTCTTGGTCCACCATGTAGCAGTGAAAAAAACCGCGAATGCATCACTTCCTTCGCACATCCACAATGGGGAAAGCACCAAGATAAATCACTCTAAACTGCCGATGGAGCTCGATTCACTCGTCGTTGTTGTGTTACCCATTGATCTGTCTGCATCTTTCGCACATTCACGATCCAAAACACAAAGATAAAGCGCTTCTAATCTGCCGGCCTGACTGCACTCTTCGTGTTTATGTTCGCCGACGATTTGTATGATATGAACTCCGTTATTCATAAAAAGCGCGAACTTATCGTGGTGAACTCATTGCCCTCTGTACGACATATGAGGCGGCACGCTGTGATGCGCCATGCTTTCGTCCAATCTTTCTAAGTGTCCCTTGGTTGCGTGTTTGTCCTCTTCTATGAGTTCCATGAGCACTGAGATCGATATCCGTTCCGGATCTTCCGTGAGATCCACTGACAGCGACACTCTGATTCGAGAGAGTACTCTCCGTGCTTAGAGAATGGAGCTTTTGCCGTCGATTAGTCCCTTTTTGGGGTGGGACAGGTCATTCCAGGACTCATTGCCTTGATGTTACTTTAAGCTATGTCCTTGTTCATCGATGATAATAGCGTCAACGTTCTTTTTTCCAGAGAGTCCTAGATGGTGGTACCATAATCACTGTCATCGTAAGGTAGAGCTCGATTTTCCTTAATTAGCGGAGACGATCCTGTAATTTTACTTGGGCCAGCTGGTAATCGAATCTGTGTCTCCGTTTCTCCGTAAAATTCAGCACAAACAAATTTGTTTTGAGGGAACTGGATGGCCTAGAGGAGTTTGTAACCACGAAAATTGTCGTACCTCCTCATGATCACCCTCTCCGCTGTGCTCCTCCGCATCCCTCAGTGGACATGTCTCATAAGTTCGAATTTTGCGCTTTTTGATAGGCTCTTGAACCAACATTGTAACTGGGTGGGGGGGTTTGGGCACGTCAAACGACCGCTTTCCGGACTTTCTTTTCATAATAAAGTAAATAAAGATTAAGGTCTGTCAATGTCTCAATGAATGACTTCTTGTTCAGGATGTATTTAACGGTTGAAACGGACTTCGGGCTGAATATGCTCCGAAATGCGCCCGTCAACGATTCCCTGGTTGTGTCGCCAATCTCTGTGATTTTCGCCTTGGCGATGGTCCAGGCGGGTGCAAAGGCTCTACAAAATCCCAGATCAACTCAGTCATCTCTAAGGGTTCGGTTCAAAAGCCTTCTTGACCACCTCTATGCACTGCTATCTAAAAGATGGTATTTAGGAGCGTCAGACAACGACATCGAGGAGCATTATTCAAAGCTCTCAAGTCAGATAATGAATGCAAGCCATGGTGTGAAGAGCCGAATAGCCAATGGATTTTTCTTAAAGTTAGTGCCTTCTCCGGAAGCTTACTTGTACGTAGTGGAGAATCATTTTCAATTAGTGGTCAAAATTTCTAGCAAACAGTTCCATATCGAAAAGGACTACGAACAAGCGGTCGTCAAGAGGTACGGCGCTAAGGTAGAAGCTCTGGATTTTGGCAAAGCAAAGGAAACAGCTAAGGTGAAACTCAGCAACTTGTTTTGAGATGTGCAATTTTCTATAATTACTAGTTACTTTCAGGTTATCGACGATTTCATAAGTAAAACCACGGAAGGAAAAATCCGCGACTTCATAAATGAAGACTCTGTTCGAGGTATTGGTATTTTGTGGCATTCCTTTAGGGGGACGGCGATCTGCTTAGAAAAATAAGAGTAAATTACGCCAGAATACACCTGTGCAGCAGATATATTTTTAAGAATAGCCCTTTCCTTCAGTCAGTATCTTCCTTAGTTAGGATGAGGGAAGAACTCATCCGCTCGCATATGAGGCGCGGTTTTTTGACGTCACCGCGGCGACAAGGGGGAGCGAGGGACGATGACTTGTGACGCGCATCGTTGTGATGATCACGTGGGAGGGGGTCGTATTTCACCGCGAGGACGGGGGGGGGTCGTGTTTGGTCGCTGTTGGGAGAGGGACTGCCAAAGATGTACACAACTACTATTACAGCTACTATTTTTGATAGTTGGAAAATGATAGCTAAATCCTGAAGACCTCCCCTCCACCCACGCTGGCGAGTTTTATAATTTCCGGGAATAAGCAGAAATTTAATAAAATGCATCTTCCAACCACAGGCTCACGAACGGGCTGGATGAGAAAATCTTTCCGTAAAAGTTGGGTCATTCTAAGGGGGTTTCATGCAGTGCCTGTCAAGGCTACGAGCTCGCAGCTCGCATAACGCGAAGAACGGCACCAGTAGAAGATGTTTTACCCACTTCAGGAAGAAACATTCCAGTCTAGCGTTCATTCCTCGCCGTGCAGGCTTTTGTCCCGTGCCCTGCATTTTTTTTCAGTTGCTGTTGCTGTCCCGCAGATGAACTTTTTCGCCATTGGTTCGATCAGCGGGTCCAGCGATTCTGCTTTTCTGAAATCATGTCCAATAGTAGAAGAAATATTGCATAGGTAGAACAAACTACGAAGAACAGATGGTTTGTTTTCGCCCCTTCCCTAGACAAACACTGTATCCAATCTACAGGGCATCCTCCGTGAGGAGGATAGACGGCTGGAAAATCGGAGACAATGTGCAACGCGCTGACCTTGTTAGAGTCATCTTGGACGGTTTGTTGTCTGATTCACCTCTCGCATCATTCCGTTATGATTATACCTGGTTACGCAGATCCCGATTCTCACAATTGTGAGAACAGCGAATGTGCTTTGAAGTAATTTCTCTAGGAATACCTCATACAGATGTACAGGGCGTTGTGGAGCTTGGCGACGATCGGGGGAGCAGGCGAGCGGAGCATCTGCACCAGTCGCAGCGGGCTCAGGAGCAGGGCACGCCATTTTCGTGATCATCAACAACGGGGGGGGGGGAGGAACGCCCCCCCGCGGTTGGTAGATGATCAAAGATTGGCGGCCTATCGCTGAGTGCCTGTTTGAAGTGCCCTGTTGATGCTGTTGAAGTGGAGCAGAGCGATGATACACTGTCGTGCATTGCCCGCGATGGGGGGGGGGGGGGGGGGGGGTCGTAAACGTCGTAAACGCATGGCCCATGTTGAAGTGGAGAGAGCGGTGATACACGGTACAAGTGAAAAGAAGCTCAAAAGGGACGATGTAGATGACAATAAATAGAACTAGGCACTATCGAACTATTCCTAGGCCAAGAACTAAAAAAATATTGCTGAAACTTTTTCCTCCTTCCTCACAAAAAACTTCAAGACACTTCGCCCACCAACCCTCCTCATCTGGTCTAGATAAATCCCAATCCACTAATCCGCAAAATCTAGAAAAGAATCCATTGCAAAAGCTACCTATGAAACCGTAGAAATTGAATCCTGAGCAATTTCCTCACAACAAAATCAAACTCAACAAAACAAAATCAAACTCAACAAAAACAAACAATCAAAATAATTCACAATCAAATGGATAAGAAAAAACTCACCAGGCCAGCTGGGAACCGGAACTATGGATTACTTTTGAATTTTGGCTGTTCGCGGTCAGCGCGCTCATACAAGCTCATTGGTGCGCGCTATTTTACGGCCTGGAGCCAATTTCAAGCCAAACCCCTCATTTGAACACCCATAACTTCGTTGAAAGTGAAGCTATCGGAGAGGGGTAAGTGGGAATGAGTAGAGCTAGGTTGGCTCTTGTCACCTGAATTGAGCGATTTCAAAAACGTTCCCAGAGATTTTCCCCGTTGTGATCATCGTTGTGATCCGTCTGTGATCATTTTTGCGAAC